GAATAGACTGAATGATGCTTAATCTCAAATGGACTGTGATTCAGGCAGTAGTAGATTCATAGGAAATAAATGGGTCTATCAGCCCAGGCTTTCATTTTAACTTAATTTGTTTACATAATACCTCTAGTAGAAAGCAGACAGTAGGTAAGAGGGTCAGGAGCAATGTGCTTTTAAGGCTTTTGCTAAAGTTTAGAAATGATTAGTGGTCTTTATAAGATTATAAATTTAATCTAAATTGAAATGCTTTTATAAATTTTCTGAATAAGTTACTTCCAATTTAAGATAAAAGCAAGTGATCAGTTCCTCTGACAAAAGGAGACTGTAGTATGTGAGTAGAAAGTGATAATAGAGTATTTCTTAGGATTGTCTCTGAGTGGGAGTTAATTATGGAAAGTGTTTTGGATCATTGTCTGTTTTTCTTAATACCTTGCTAAATTAATGCCTCTTTTGATCTAGTGATAGATACAGTGATGCCAGTGATGACAGCTTTTCAGAGCCAAGGATAGCTGAGTTGGAAATAAGCTACAACTAATACATGACTCGGAATGGCAGGCGCTGCCTGAGAGGGTAAGAAGAAATCTCTAAGTTCTTGTTTGTTTTACAGACAAGCTGCTGTCTTGGTGTAGAAGGGAGCAAGCACTACAGGACTTGTCTGCAGGATCCTATTTGCCAGGCAGTGGTAGCCAGACAGACTTCACAGCCAACAGCACCTTTTGGAAACTGGAATGCACCCGAGAAACCTAGCAGTTAGCATGGGGAGAATGGAATGCATTTGAGGCCAGGAATAGATAGATAGATAGATAGATAGATAGATAGATAGATAGATGATAGAAAAATAAACAAATTTATTTATTTATTTATTTATTTGGTGCATGTGTCTATATATAAACATATACCTGGAAGCTGAAGTGGGTAGAGTTGTAATAGTTTAGGTCAGGGATTGTTGTAATGCACCCCGTGAATCACACAAGGACGCCTCAAGAAGTCGAATTAAGGGGTCACATTTATTGCAAATCCGAAACTACGAGGGGGCATTTCGCTCTCTCAAATCTCGTAGTACCCTCCCCAGCCCCAACACCAGACTTATATAGGCAAAGATCACAGAGGTATTGATTACATCCCAGGGTTTAGAATGAGGAACCTGGTTTGCAAAAAAGCAGTTTACAGAAGCAGAATTAAGCATGTTAGCTAAATTACAGTTTTGGGTCTCCTGATCACTTCAGGTACAGAAGAATGTGCTTCGATAACCAGTATGACCACAACCAATGGGGTATTCACATTACAATCAATAGGGTATTCAATTGAATGGGATGATTTATATAATTCAGAAAATCAAAGTAACTTTTCTATTATTTTAGCAAGCAAATAAGTACAGAAGCCAAACAGCAGGGTTAAAGTTAAACTATAGTTTCTACCTGAGATGATTGCTACCATACTTCAGGATCAGCAGCCTTCTTCTGTAAAGGGCCAGATAGTAAATATGTTAGTCTTTGCAGGCCATGCGTTCTCTCTCACAGCTACTCCACTTTGCCGTTATAGGGGAAAAGCAGCCAGGGACCACACTTGACTGAATGGGCATGGCTGTGTCCCAGTAAACCTGTTTGTAAAAACAGTTTGCCTGCCCCTGGTCTAGGTCGCTCGTGGAAAGCAGGTTTCCTTGGGTATGTGTAAAATAACAAGAGTATTTTATTTCTTTGCAGGGAGATGGCAGAGACGGGCTTGGCTTCTGAGGGCAGCTTATTTTCTGCGCTGCTCTATTAGGCTTTATTAGAGTGACAGCAGCCTGGCTAGCTTGATCATATTCCAGCTCAGAGACCTGGGTTGACCTGCTCTCTTTAGCAGGGACAGCAGCTTGGGAATATTTGTAAAGAGTTCATTGCTCCAGTGTCAGCTCTCTTTGTATTTTACTTAGGGACTGAATATTCATGTTCTCCGTGGAAAGCACATTCATATTTATTTTTAGGTTTGCCTCAAACATGGAGACCTTTAGGAGCAAACCAAAATGATGCAAAGATTAGCTGGGAGTATTTTAAAGACATATTATTCAGGTTCTGATGTTGCTAATACTTACATTCCCCCCCTTTTTTTAAGGCTCTGAAGTAATTGAAGCCAAGATAAAGCAACTATCTGAAGAAATCACCACATTCTTAAAGAATCACAAAACATGTGATGAAAGCCTCAAAGGAAATCAAATAATATGTACTTTCATGAAGCAGAACCAAAGGGGCACTTTCCTTTCTTTCCTCCAGAGGTGGCCTTTGGGTCTCACAGATTGCTCTAGCCGATTAAACATTTCCCAACAACCTGACTGGGAGAAAGTGTGTTCTTGTTTTGTCTGGTGTACCGTGATGTCAGGTGCTGAGCAATGATACAGGAACTGAGCCTTCACTGTGCTATATGGGAAGGGTGGCAGGGCACATGCAATAACTAATTTTGAGTCAAAAATGAGCCATTCTTTTACCTGGAACTCAACCACAGATCTGGGTGCGGCCCAAGCTTATTTTAATTTCTCGCCCAGTTTATTTCTAGTTAAAAAGAAATATAAATAGGTCCAAGACTTGGGGTGGCAAGTAAGGCCCGTGTTCAGGTACAGAATTTAAGGGGTCGTAAAAAAAATCTCAGGAATCAAGATCAGTATATATACAGGGTGTCACCCAAAAATGTATACACACTTTAAGAGCTGATAGCTATAGATTCTATTACATTTTGAAAATGAAATGTTTGTGTGTGTTTTTGGTTAATCCTCACCTGAGGTTATTTTAGAGAGAGTAGAAGGAAGGGGGAGAGACACAGAGAGAGAAACATCAATGTGAGAGAGACACATTGATTGGTTGCCTCCCACACTCGCTGAGTAGAGCCGGGGATTGAGCCTGCAACCGACCTACGTGCCCTTGACTGGAATTGAACCCGGGACCCTTCAGTCCACTTCAGTCCACAGGGCCGATGTTCCGACCACTGAGAAAAACCAGGGAGGGCGGAAATGAAATGTATTTTAATAAACACTTTATTCAAAGTGTGTATACATTTTCTGGAGACACCCTGTATATTTTTTAATTGAGATGAAATTCACATAACATAGAATTAGCCATTTTAAAGCGAACATTTCAGTAGCATTAGGTACAATGTTATGCAGCCACCACCTTTACCTACTTCTGAAACATTTCCAACACTCCAAAATAAATCCCCATGCCCATTAGCAGTCACTCCCCATTCCTACCTCCTCCCAGCCCCTAGCAACTGCTAATCTTTCTATTTCTATGATTTTCCAATTCTGGATATTCCATATAGATGAAATAATACAATATGTGGCTATTTGTATCTAGCTTCTTTTATTTAGCATCATGTTTTTTTTAAAAATATATCTTTATTGTTGAAGGTATTACAGATGTCCCCTTTGTTTTTTTCCCATTGACTGCCCCTCCCACGCTTTCACCACCCTATTGTCTGAGTCCATGGGTTATGCATATATGCAAACATGTTCTTTGGCTGATCTCTTCCCCTCTCCCCCTTCCCTCTGAAATTCCACAGTCTGTTCCATGCTTCTGTGTCTGGATCTATTTTGTTCAGTTAATTTTGTTCATTAGATTCCACATAGGAGTGAGATCATGTGATACTTGTCTTTCTCTGACTTATTTTGCTTAGCATAATACTTTAGCGTCATGTTTTTAAGGTTCATCCTGTGTATCAATGCTTCATTCCTTTTTATAGCTGAATAAAATTCCATTGTATGTATCTACCACAATTTGTTTATGTCTTCATCTGTTGATGGGCATTTGAGTCTCCACCTTTCAGCTGTGATGAATAGTGCTTTTATGAACATTCATGTGCAAATATTTGAGTACCTGTTTTTAATTCTTTTGTGTATATACCTAGCAGTGGAATTGCTGGGTTATATGGTAATTCTGTTTAACTTTTTGAGGAAGCAGCCGTAATATTTGAATGCAATTTTTTATATCAAAATTAATTTTAAGCCGTAACCGGTTTGGCTCTGGATAGAGCGTCGGCCTGTGGACCCAGGTTCGATTCCGGTCAAGGGCATGTACCTTGGTTGCGGGTACATCCCCAGTAGGAGGTGTGCAGGAGGCGGCTGGTCGATGTTTCTGACTCTCTATCCCTCTCCCTTCCTCTCTGTAAAAAATCAATAAAATATATTTAAAAAATTAATTTTAAAATTTCACGATGAACAAAATATTGAATTTAAAAATAAAGACAGAATCCAGCTCTGCACCTCCCTCACCTCCCCCAGTCCTGGTCCTGTTACACAACATTCTCAACCACTATGCTTCTTTAATATATTTTAATTGATTTCAGAGAGGAAGGGAGAGGGAGAGAGATATAGAAACATCAATGATGAGAGAATCATTGATCAGCTGCCTCCTGCATGCCCCCCTACCCCCCTGAGGATAGGGCCCAAAACCTGGGCATGTGCCCAGAGCTGACTGGGAATCAAACTTTGACCTCCCAGTTCGTAGGTCGATGCTCCAGCACTGAGCCTGGGGCCGGGCATCAACCATTATGCTCCTTGATTTTCCCAGTTCAATGTGCTTGAGTTGACTTCATTGTTGCCTACATTTGAGCTTTCTGATACTAATTTAAATATTTAAACTGCGCAGTTAATTTTTTGTGGTTGTTTTGGGGCTTTCAACTTTTATCTTTTAATGCTGGAAAGTGTTACAGTATTATTTTGTAATGCTACAGAAAATTCACCTACGAAACACATGCAGAAATGAAATGAATAATTCTCATAAACAAAAATATCAGAGCTTTAGGGCTCCACTTGTGAAAATTACAACTTCAAGATCACAAAAGGTTCCAAAATGAAAAGCCTGCAGATAGGTTAAAAGCTGAAATAGGCCTCATAGAGAGAGGGCTGTAAGCTCGGAGGGCTACTTTAGCATAACAAAGGGGTAGTATGGTTTAAATGGAAATTTTTAATTGTAATGATTATGATTTCTAAAGTCACTTATAACAGAGTGCTTCCACTGCTGGGCTAATGACGCATGTAAATGGGACTAGAAGGAAGGGCACTTTAAGAAATAATAAACCAGCCACCTTGTCGTTGTTGCTACATAAGATTTTTCTCTTTTGGAGCTACCCTTGAACTTGGAATTCAGTGAAGCAGCAAAATGGTAGTAGCATGGCTGCTTAGGATGGTAGACCAGCTGTGGGACATGAACACATAGAAAGTTATTATGAATCATTCATTCAGCAAATGTATCTTGAACCCCCAGCATGAACTAAGCACAGTGTTGTGTGCCGGGGACAGTGTAGGGGAGCAGAATTTGTCCCCAAAGTATGTCTGGCATAAGGATTATTTTAGCCTGATCATTTTTAGGAAACAGCACACTTAGAAAAGCTCTGAAACCAGTACAAGTTACCCTTTTGTAAGAGACATTTACATTTACAAAGGAAATCTCCATTTGTAAGGCTATCTCCCTCTCCATACCAAGAAGAGGATGACTAAATCTGTAGAGCCTCTCATCAATGGAGAAGTCAACAACCTAAATCTACATAACAACCTTACCCTTATCTCTCATAACTGCTCCTCCCCCCCATTAACATCTCCTTTTGCCTTTAGCTGGAGATGGTATTTAAGGTGGAGGCTTGGGCCATTTGGGGGAGTTCCTCAGTTTTCCTGAGTCTCTCCCATGTACACAGGAGGTATGCATGTTATTAAATTTGCGTATTTTTTTCTTATTAATGTCTTTATTATTATTGGAGCGTCTCAGCCAAGAACCTAGAGGAATAGAGGTAAGATTAATTTTCCTTGCCTACAGGAGCACTCTTCCTTTTTTGCACCTGACTGTTGCTTGGGGTAAGGCAGGCTTTAAATAAATATATAGGAAAAGAAGTCTTTAATTATAATTGTGATATGTTCAGGGGGCTATGAGAGTACCAAAGAATAAGGTCAAAGAGACTTGGGAGAGAGTATAAAATGGGGTCCTATGACAAATTGGGGATCTAGAGAAGGCCTATTGAGAAAACCTGGTAAACATTTTACCCAAATTTGTGCCTGTCGTCACACAGTGCAAAGACAGTGGGCCAAGAGCTACAAGACCCAGTGGGGATGTGGTTTCCCAGACCGACCGGCAGGGCAGTGGCTGTGTAGTGGTGAAACTGGACAATCAATGGGTCCGGGCTGCTTGTCACTACTTGAGCCAATTAAGCAGAGACAGGGTTGAATCATATATGAGCGTGTATTCCAATAATGTCAGCAGCATGGGAGAGCAGCAGGTCAGCCACAAAAATGTGCTCTGCGCCACCCCACCCCCATAAGCCAGCTGCTTATATGGGGTACAAGGACAAAGATTACTTGGGGAATTAGGGAAAAGGAATAAGAATGGGTATACAAAATATGCAGGCATGGGGAAGTAAGCAAAAGGAATAGAAATGGGTATAATATTACAGGCAACACCGGCTTGGGATTTGCAAAGGGCTTGGGGTTTGCAAAGGGCTAGGGCCTCTGGTTTGCCTCCTGCACGCCCCCTACTGGGGATGAAGTCAAACTGTGATCTCCTGGTTGATAGGTTGACACTCAACCACTGAGCCACACCGGCTGGGCAGGAAACTAAACTTTTCCATGATGAATTGCCCTCTCTAGGGGCTCTCTGAACTGGAGAAACAGCATCATATGCCACAGGCCAGGACAATGAAACTACTTGTTATAATGGTCACTTCTGTAGAACATTGAATGACAAGAGATCAATATTTACTTAATTTAGATTATCTGCATTTCTGGGTAGCAATTTCTGAATATATTTGCACAAGTATACAGTATATTGTTTTAATGTCAGATGTGAAAAGTATGAAGACTCAGAAATAATTTTCAACCCAGACTGTGACTTGTTTGTTGTCACCATTGTTTCATACCAGGAAGATTTCTGATAGGATGAGTGGTTTTCATGTTTTTTTGAAACACTTACTTCGCTTTTCTGAGTGAATAGCATAATTCTGTGGTTTTATACCATAAGTTAAATGTGTTTCTTCTGCTCTCCATTATCTTTCTTTTATTCCAACTTTCCTAAGCATAACTTTTTTAAGAATATATATTTTAATTGATTTTAGAGAGGGAGAGAGAAACATCAATGATCAGAGAGAATCATTGCTTGGCTGCCTCCTGCATGCCCCCCACTGCGGATTGAGCCCGCAACCCGGGCATGTGCCTTTGACCAGACTCAAACCCAGGACCTTTTCGTTTGCAGGCCAACACTCTATCCACTGAGCCAAACCGGCCAGGGCTGATTCCACATTCTTTAGTATTTGAAGGCGGCACTATCTAAAAAGCAAGTGGGTGGCAAATTATGGCCA